TACCCTGTCCTTTTGTTCAAAAATGAGTAACTGTACTATGCACATTGTCCCCCTCCACACCCCTTTATTTTTCACTTAGCAATACATGTTGGCCTGTTTCAGGGCTAGTATTTCATTATATGGATGCGTCTTGATGTGTTTAGCTGGCCCGCCGCTGATGGGACATTGAGGCTGCAGTATCTTGCCATTACTCACAGCGCTTCAGAGTCTAAGCCGCGCTGTCCAATATAGTTGCCACCAGCAATGTCTTCCTAGTCACATTTCAATTAATTTGAGTTGATTAAAACTTAAAATCCAGCTCCTCAGTCATGCTGGCCACATCAGTGCTTGAGAGCTGCATAGGGCTGGTGGCTCACAAGCCAGTGGTGAGGATATGGAGCATTTCCAGGGTACAGGGAGTTCTCTGGGATAGCGCCGTCCTGTAGGGTGAATTCCTAGAAGGGCATTCTGAAGCCAGAGGTCTATATATCTTAAGAGTTGACAGACACTGCCGAACCTCCCTCTGAAGAGGCTCTAGCTATTTCTCTTCCCTGCAATCAAAGCTCAGAGAGGAACGGCACGTTTTATTTCCAAACGACTGTATGCACTGCGAGGGGGAAGAAATGTTCCCTGTGTGCTGCTTGCAAGGACATTGTGTTTTGTTGGTGGTGACCAGTCGAACATCGCTGTCCCCAGCTTAACAGGGGGCGCGCCCATCACCGGGAGCCCCACATGGGCGGTCTCCCTGAGGCCTGGCTTCCTGCCCCTTGTTAAGGGCTGCCTCTCCCCAGATCTAAGCCACCTCCATCTGCTCCCTGAGGTCCAGAGCACCTCCATGCCCTGGATCTGGACCCACTATGTCTCAGGGAAGAGTGCTGGCATCCTGGCACATTCCCTGTCTCCGTGACACAGCCTTTATTGGAAGACTCATCCTCCTTCCTCGCCTCCCACTCTCTCCTAGCTCTTCTCTCTTTGGCAGGTGGTGACCTCTGCATCGCCAAATCCAGGTGGTGTTGCCCTGTCCTCATCTTGCCAGAGCTCTTAGCCACAGCCTGCACTTTGTCCCTTGGCTTCTGAGATGCCACGCCTGCTGCCTCTTTGATCATTTCATCCCTGCCTCCTTTGCAGCCTCCTTGTCCTCCAGCAGTTACAATCGGCCTCTTGTTTTCCTCCTTCTCTACCTTTTTTTTCATGGGCAGTCTCACTGCCACCATGGCTTTGATTAGCATCGTGTGGGGAATAACGGTCATGCAGTTTAATTCCCATTTCCCGGTTACTAGTAAGACTGAGCATCTTTTCATGGTTTCTGGCCTTTGTATTCCTTATGAAAGCAGGTTAGAAGCAGAGCAGACTGGGACCCAGGTTCCCGTGCAGACCAGGGCTATGGCCCGACCAGACTTCCCTTTGTGGCCTCAGCAGTGAAGACTGACAGCTTTCTTTGTCTACAGCTCATAGTTTCTCGCCCTGAACCTGAGATTTACTCACACTCAGTTTTAGATGACAACATACCAACTTCATCACCTGTAAAGGAGTGAGCTTTAGAGTCCCCACTGCTCAGGTTCCTTCTACAGCCTTCTGTGCGCCCACTTCCCCTTCTTCACACCTGTTGAACCTGCTCTTTATTCTTGTGTTTGACTCCTTCCTCTTCTCTCACCCTCCGGTCAGCTCTTCCCTCCATTTGTCTTCCTATCTGGTCTGAACCCCATGACCCCCCAGAGCAACCAACCTCTACCTGTTAACCCGACGAGCTCTTACCTCCTTAACTCGGGCCTGGTTGCTTTGCCAGTTTCCAATCCTAAGGATGCTGATCCAGTTGCTTCTGCCTGCCGTCTTCTCTTAAGGGACACAAGCCTTCCCTTGGATCCCTTAAACAGAGGGGCCATTCATGCCTCTTTTCTGGAACTTTTTTTCTAATTTGGCCCTGTGTCTGTCTAGCTTCCTTAGACTGTGAACTGCATACAGGACAGTCATGCCAGTGGCATCTCTGTTCCCCCAGAGCCCAATCTGTTTGTGCAAAATAACCTATGTTTGCCTAATTTGGTTGAACAGAAAATTTCTGCCTTGGCAGTGACTGCTCCCAATCACTTGGCACTGATACTCCTCAGATTTAAAAAGCAAGATGTTTATCGGGTACAGGAAAAAATGCATAGAGAGAAATGATAAAGGGGCCCAAGTGGATGGTATATATGCATTCTTTTGAATGGACATGTCAGGGTGAGGTTGCAGGCAGAGGTGTCTGGAGAATGGCTTTTCCTCAAGTGCAGTGAGATTCTGCTAGCATTCAGGGGCTCTCATGTCAAGCAGGCTCATTTTGGTGGTGACGGTACCTCTTGGTGTCTGGTGATGACCTTGGCTCAAAGATGGGAAAACATTGCATCTATGCGGAAAGGAAAGAAGCTGTACTTGTCTTTGCCTGCGTAGAGGCTTCCCTGATGTAACCAGTCCTGGGCCAGCAGCTCTGAGCCTGTAGGAACAAACCTGTGAATGCACTCATAGAAATAATCCGAGGGCCTGCTGCCTGGAAGTGAGGGAGTGTCTCACACAAGCTGATGCCAATACTCTGCTTGTGCAGCTACTCGGGACCCACTGCCCAGCTCTGCCCCTTTCCATCTCTGCCTGGGGGAAGTGCAAGCATGCAGCCCACCTGTGTTCTCAGGACTACCAGGAGGCCTGTTGCTGAGAAGGGTTTGTGGCAGCATTGGCCAGCGTTTGAAGTCAATGCTACCTGCCTTAATTGGTCAGGCTTCAGTGAATGTGCCTTAGTCTTCCCTAGGAGGGGCCGAGTCTTTGAGAGGCCAAGACCTAATGAAGAGAGCACCGCCTTCGTTGGCCTCCCCGGGCCTGGACACAGCAGCGTGCCCTGAGAGCTCACAGTAACAGTGCACATTCTCCTGCACACCTTGACCACCAGCTCTGGCGGTAGCACCAGTCATCCGTTTCTGGGCCCAACACCATTGATCTTGTATGGCTCCCAGTGTCCTCTCCGTACTTGAGCATTATCTTCCATTTCAAAGCCCTTCTGTAAATAAAAGCATGTTTTTTTTTAATTTTAAATTTTATTTCATTTGAAGTCATTATTTTTTTACAGTTTCTTTGAAGGCTTTTTTTCAGTTTTTAAAAATTTAAATTCAGTTTGCCAACATATAGTATAACACCCAGTGCTCATCACATGCCCTCCTTAATGCCCATCACCCGGTTACACCATCTCCCCACCCACTTCCCCTTCTGCAACCCTTTGTTTCCCAGATTTAGGAGTCTCTCATGGTTTGATAAGAAGTTTTCTGATGCTACAGCGTATGGAGGATTTCACTTCAGGAAGAACAAAGACCACCATCCTTGCGCAGGGGCCATGCTAATCTTCTCTGTATCGTTCCAATTTTAGTATATGTGCTGCCGAAGCGAGCACGAACAAAGACCACCATTCTAACCACACCAGCCTGCTCCCCTCCCTTCTTGCTTCTGGTTGGGCTCAGCCCCCGGGACGCCTCGCAGGGGATCAGAGGGTGGGTGGTCACAGTCAAGGCGTTTCCTTCCTTTCTGGGCCAGGCCAGGGTTTTGGCAAAGGCTGTGCTCCTCGCAGCCAGGTTCTGGGAACCTTGCCTTGGCCCTGCCAGCCTTGGGTGGGAATGGCTTCCTGTTCCTAATCCTTGAGCACTCCAGCACCTTTGTTTTCTCACCCCTGCCCACACCTCTGTAAAGAGCCCTCCTTCAACTTCTCTTCAGAACCTTTCCAGCCATCTGTCTCTTGCTGGGGCCCTGCTGGATAATCTGTCCAGGTGTCCTCTGTCCAACCGAGTAAAGGCTGAACCCTATCAAATCCTGGAGTGGTTCTCAGGAGCTGTGTGAGCACTTGTGTTTTTTTCACGAATAACATTTACATGTAGTGAGACGCAGGGCTCCTTCTAGCCTTGGCCTTTACCCGACAGGCCTCCGAGTGGGTTTTTTCAGTCAAGGGTCACAAGGAAACCTTCGCAGCTCCTGCTGAAAGAAGAGAGGGCAGCAGGGAGATATTTTTCCTCTTAAATTTGTGCCCAGGGCAGCCCGGGTGGTGCAGCAGTTTGGCGCCGCCTGCAGCCCAGGGTGTGATGCTGGAACCCGGGATCGAGTCCCATATTGGACTCCCTGCGTGGAGCCTGCTTCTCCCTCTGCCTGTCTCTCTCTCTCTGTGTCTTTCATGAATAAATAAAATCTTTAAAAAATAAATTTGTGCCCCGGATGTGGTCTTTTCTGCCTCCAGCCCTGCATGACAGTGGTTTCCCTGTTCAAGAGGAGCCTGTGCATGAAGTCCCTGGGGTCCAGGCCTATGGCCTCTCTGTGCTCAGCAGGGCCCTTCCTTCAGCTGGCTCCCCAGTGAGAAACGATGCTTCTCCGGACGTGTGCTGCTCCTTCCCCTTGGCCATGCTCTCCATCCTGGCCCTCTCTGCTCACGGAGCCTGCGTCCCTCCCGTTGGGTCTCTAGAACCCCAGCCTCCCGCTCCCATTTGGCATCCGGGGGGGCTCAGAGCTGATGGATGAGCAGCCAGTTCTGCCTGGAGTTCCTGCTTTTGTCCTCACTATCCGGGCTTCACACTATCTATTGCTCCTGCCCATTCCTCCATCCACTCTATTTTCTAGAAAAGCCCATTTTATACTCCTCTCCTTCCTCCCTCCAGGGTCCCTGGGTCTTGGGTGCTGGGAATGTGGAGGGAGGGCCTCAGCGTGTGTCAGGTGACATCACCGCAGGGGAGTGCAGGTAGGCCTCCCACACTGCTGGGAACTTTAACTAGGCTAATTTTAACTAGGCCTATTGACGGTGGAATTTCTACAACCAGAATACTCCAGAGGGAGGAGGCAAGTTCTCAATCTGGGGCCTGAAAGGAAACACCTGGAAGCAGTGAGGAAACTGCCTAGTAAACAGTGGCTCATGTCTACGTTTCCCCCCTGTGTCTGGGGTCTCCCCTCCATCCAGTCACCTTCTCACTTTTGGAAGACAGCCTGGATTGCTGTTTGCAACTCTTCAAGCAAAAACAATCACAAATTACTTCAGGTGGCAGAGATATTTTTATTTTTGCAGAGCAGAGGCAGCATTTATTGGCTATGGAGTCTAAGTGGCAGCTGTCCTGGAGCTCCTCTCGAGTCCCTTCTGGACACTGGTCTCCAGTCGGAGGAACAAGCAAGGCCGCCACGCTAGGGGGCAAGGCTCCCCCTTACTCCCTGAGAGGTCTCCAGCAAGCCCTCCACTGGAGACAGCTCTGACAGGGTGCCTTCTACGAGGTCCAGCTGGAGGTAGGACTTGAGGACAGGTTCAGGGGCAGGCTTCCTTTCCATCACAGCCTCCGAGCCTTCCTGGGGCGGCAGCCATTGTGCGGGATAGGAGTGTTGTCTGTGATGGAGATCACCTCCAGGCCCCCCATGGTCAGTCCCTTGATGGCAGACTGGAAGGAGCAGAACAGCAGAATGCCGTGGTCCCACACACGATGACCCAGCATGTCCAGGCAGGGCTTGGAGGGGCACCGGGGGGGCTGTGATACCTACAATTCTAACTGTTCTCTCACAATAGACACCCAACCGAACCAAACCCTTCACCGTGTCCTCACCACTGTCAATTTCTCTAGAAACACCTGCCACTTCCCACCTCATGCTTTACCATCTGAAAACCGAGATTACCTATGAACCCCTACACACCTACCTTAAGCATTATGCTTCTGTAGTGTCCTCTGTCTGGAATGTACCCTCCCTCCCCACATACCTGGCTAATGCCTCACTATTCTTGAAAGTCAGTACAGATATGTCACCTCTTTGGGGATATACCCAGTGGGCTCCCAGCACCTTGGGCGCAAGCTTTACCAATGTACCCACGAGTCTGTGCTAAGGGACCTGCCTGTGACAACCCCCCCATGGAACACCTTTCTATGCCCAGTGCCTGGCACACAGCAGGCACTCAATATGAGTCTGATAAATTAAACTCGATGACCTAGACTTGCTTTTGAGAAGCTCTGTAGGTTAGAAGACCAGAAAGAAACTCCAGCCATTCTGGAAATCCGCCAGAGGCTTCTTCCATTCTCGACTCTATGCTCAAGCCCGTTTCTCTCACTAAAGAAGCACACTCACTGCAGAGACTCCTGGCTACTTACCAAGCGCCCTGGCCCCAGGCCCTTCACCACCACTCGGATGTGGGTCACGCCCTTCCCCGTAGCTTTCTGGAGAGGAGAGGTGAGTGGTTAGTGCTCTAGAAAGAGAATTGCTACATCCAAACTCTCTTGCTGCTACCATTTGGAGCAAGAGGGTTACGAGTTCTGGGGGAAAGGCACCCACACACGTAAACAGGCAGAAAACAGGGAAGGAAGCAAAGGACACATGGTCACAGTGCAGGGCAGACACCAGCAGAGAGCACAGAATGCGTCAGATTCTAGATTTATAGTCAACTGTGATCCTGGTTAACCCAGGGCGGCACTGCCACCTGATGGAGATTTCTAAATATCACTCACCTTTTCCTCAGTAAATGCAGAATTTTAAGGCTGAGCCTAAATAACCCATTGAAAAAGTTATCGTTTTCAGGTGTTTTAAATTTTAAGTGTTATTTAATATTTTCTCTCTTGATTATAAAAGTAGTTCGTTATAGAAAGTCTGGAAAACACACAAAGTCACTCAACCTGCCATGCAGAAGCCACTATTAACACTGATCTTCTAACTGTATACAATCTGTATTGTATACTGACGATCATTAATACATGGCAAATAATATGTTGGGGCATCGAGCTTTATTTGAAGGCCAAGGTTTTCCCTCAGGAAATACTTCTTGTTTGGCGGAGTGTGAACCTTTGTGAGGCTGGTGCTATGGTAGACAGCACATAGGCCGCGATCCCAGACCAATGACTGCGCAAGTCGCACTCTGGACTTTAACTGGCTCTTAAAGACATGGATAATACTAAGCATCTTCTGAGGATTTAAGGTAACGAATGTAAAGTGTCTGGTGTACAGCAGACGGTCAATAGGAGCATATTGCCAATGTGCTTCTAGAAAGGTCCGCAACAGTTCACAATGAAATTGGTATTGAGAGAGAGAGAGAGAGAGAGAGAGAGAGAGAGACCTCTTCAAACTGCCGCCAAGGTGGGGTATCGAACAAGAGTTGTCCGATAGCATTGTTTCTGAACGACTTCAAGAACCTTCCTCACAGGGATCAGCCATGCAGAAAATGGAACCCATCATAGAGGGAGCCAGAAGGAACACACACTTACCACAGCAGCGGCTATGCCTGCTGTTTGTGCAGCAATGCCCGTGCCCTTCTTGGCGTTCCGAAATCCCTCCGTGCCACAGGAAGAGCGGGCAAGGGGCTGGTTAGCGGCAGAGACCACCTGGATCTGCGTGCTGAGGAAGCAGGGAAGTGCACAGGCTATGACCACTGGCCAGGGAAGTAAGGGCACTGAGCCAGGGCTGTATGAGCCCATGGAAGTTCAGCTGCTTTCCCTTTGAGCTTCTCAGATGAATGCTTTTTGAACTCCTACAGGAGGTGTCTAGAAAGGTCAGAATCATCCCCTAAACCTCATCAAAACCTGACATGGCAATCAATCTAAGGACTGCTCTGTTAATGGACCACATGTTTGTGTCACCCCAAATTCAAGTTGAAATCCTAACCCCAGGGATGCCTGGGTGGCTCAGTGGTTGAGCATCTGCCTTTGCTTCAGGTCATGATCCTGGGGTCCTAGAATCGAGTCCCACATCGGGCTCCCCGCAAGGTGTCTGCTTCTCCCTCTGCCTGTGTCTCTGCCTCTCTCTGTGTCTCTCATGAATAAATAAATAAAATCTTAAAAAAAAAAAAAAAGAAATCCTAACCCCAAATGTAATTGTATTTGGAGGAGGGGCCCATGGGAGGTGAGTAGGTCACAAGGGTGGAGCCCCCATGAGAGGAATTAATGTTCTTATTATAACAGGGATAGTGACTTAAAAAAAAATCCCACAAAACCATTATCATACCTAACGCAGTAAGCAGTATTACTATAGTGGATAATTTTAATGCTAAATGACACTGTTCCACCATCAAAAAACTTTTAAGTGACACTTCTTTTCTAGTCATTTCTGACTTTAAGAAATACTTAGACATGATTTTCATTACTCCTTGGCCACCATCGCTCCATCTTCTGGCCTGAAGAGCTCCCTGAGGCATCATGTAAGGAGAGAGGGAGAGGAACAGCTAGGGGGAAGAGTGGGGGTGGCCCCGGTTCCGGGCCATCTGCCTGTCGGCCTGGCTACAACTGCCCTTTCCCCCTAGCGGAGCTCCCAGGGTGTCCAGTGCAAACAGAAGCGTAAAAGAAATGCCTGTCCCTGATACAACTTCAACAGCGATCTACAGGGCTGGCCATAGGTGCTTCTACACACAGGGAACACTAACCTATGTCCTCGTTAGCCTGAAGAGGGGAGAAAAAGAAATCCAGGTGCTCTCATTTGGAGCTTCTCACATGAATGCTGGGTGAATCCTGTGGCATCTCAGCTGTGCCCCACACTCCATCCCCAACGAGCAATGATTTCTTGTATGGTTCTCTGAATTGCTTCATGGGCAGGCTGTGACCAAAGATTGACCCCCACCCCTGGCAGGGGCTGGTCTGCAAAATTGTCCCTGATGTCAGGATGGCTTCTGCTGTCAACACGCAGCTGGGGAGGCCCTCAGCACTCACGTGGAAGTCACACATTAAATCACAACTCTCGTTTAGCCCTACAAGGTTGGGGGTCAGTGCACAATGGCCCAGGGTAAGTGCTTCTTGCAGATTTACATTTTGGTAGGTTTGTCAATAAATCATATCCTTTTAAACCACTGCTCTCATGTTTATCTCACCCATCCTCTGTTCCCCAGGATCTAGTAACACTTAGCATACCTTCTTAAATGTTCTCTGCCAACTCCTGAGTGAAGCCAGGAGATACTAGTCCTAAGGCACGCAGAGAGAGCTGAACACTGTAATGTGCTCAACCTAGCTCACATTTCATGAAATCTGAATAAACTTTACAAAGACATGTCGTTTCCCAAAACAAGGAGGAGAGGCCCTGGGGGGCCTCTGCACTGACACTACCAAGAGGAATGGGGGCCCCTGGGTGTGCCCCCCCACCCCTCTCCACCGCCCATGAAGGGGAAAGAAGCCCCCTTGAAACCAGCCCAGGTGCTTCTGCCACTTACTTGTTGTAGGATGCTTTAATATGTGCGATTGGGATCTCTTCAAATTTCTTTCCTGCCCACCTCAGAGGGCTCTCCTGTCCTGGAACTGGAGGGTAAATGCTGTAATTAAAGAAACACTTGAGGTAAAAACTCTACCCGGGATCTGCTCCTAGGGTAGCCACCCCAGTCCGCCTCAGTTCAAAGCTCAGTTGGCCATGCTGTGCTCTCTTTAATTCAGATACACACAGGTGTCCTTCAAGATTCCAGACACAAGTAAGCCTGCTGTTGCATCCTGCCTACACGCTCGGATCAGACCCGTGTTTGTATCCCCTAACACCTCCTGAAATTCAATGGACTCTAGTTTAGAAAATACTCTATTACAGGAGTGCAATCCTGCCCCGGAGCCCTACCTGTCTTCCCAGAGATAGATTTCAAAAACAAAACAGAAAATAACATAACGGTCTTCAAGGGTGTTCCTTCCTGCCCGGCCTGATCTGGAGACAATGCGACCCCTCAGCAGGCTGTGGGCTTCTCGACCTGCAAGCCAAGATGGAGAGTGGATGGGGCTCTGATTGGACATTAATGTTTAAAACTGCATCATTTCCCCATAGATTGTTTCCCCTACTGACTCCGGGATCTAAGAACTAAGTCTACTAAAGTCTGGATGTGCTAGTGTAATGCCTTTATATACAGCAAGGGTTTTTTTAAGTTTTATTTATTTTATGAGAGACAGAGAGAGGCAGAGACACAGGCAGAGGGAGAAGCAGGCTGCCTGCAGGGAACCTGATGTGGGACTCGATCCCAGGACCCTGGGATCACGCCCTGAGCCAAGGGCTGATGCACAACCACTGAGCCATCCAGGTGACCCACGGCAAGTTTTGAACTTGAGAGGATTTGGAGCTTGAACCATTTAACTGAAGGCACGAAGATCAGGCCTTTAAGCCGACCAGGTCCAATGTGCAAAGGAACGAGTGGTTCACCCTGGGGCAGCCCAGACCAAGGAAAGACAAAGCCTTCTGGGCACTGGCCTGCTGCCTCTTCATATCTGTCCTCACAACCGGGAGAATAGAGAGGGGCCAGCATACATAGCGTATCTTCGGAAGGGCCATGGATTGAAAACAGCCTCTGCTCTCCACTGCTGTAGGGCTGGAAGGGAAGGCTGACTCCCATCACAAGCCAGCTCAGGCAAAGAAGTGCCACCAACCCTGATGGACCCTGATGGTGTGGCAGCCGCTGGAACCTGGGCCAGCTCAGCTGTAGTTCCGCTCCCAGATAAAGAAAGCCTGGTCTCACGGTCTGCACCCCACTTCCTAATTGTGGCTAGAGACCATTTTTTAAAAATGCAAATGCATATAGAAAAATGTGGGATTTTAGCTCCTGGCTCACTACTCCTGTCACAATTCTATGCATGGCTTCTGTAAGATCCTTCCAATCCCTTGGCTTCTGTTTCTTGACCTCCTTTTCTCCAATGATCCTGTGTCCTCTGGCCTAGCCTGGCTGCTTCCTCATGTGGTCACACCTGGCCTTTGTCATTGCCACGTCTGCACACCTCGTCATGATGTCAGGCTACCACCTCCAGGCACATCCCTGCTACCCTCACTCTAGGAACCCTTCTCCAAGCCCACTGATTCACTTTCCCTCACTGCCCCCTGGCCTTTACTTCTCTCCTGGCCTCTAGTAAATTCCACGACCAATCATTATAATTGCTCCTTTTGCATACCTCTGCCTCTTACTTCATCGTCCCCTCCTGGCAAACTCTAACCATGGCTGAATCCATCTCTCCTGCCACTCTGAACCCGGGCATGCCCCTGCACAGCTGGCTACGGAAAAATCCATACCAATGTTGACTGGTCTCTATACGTATCGTGGTTTCTCAACTTCAACACTATTGACATTTTGGGCAAGAGAATTCTTTGTTGTGAGGGGCTGGCCTACATGTTGTGAGGTGTTCAGCAGCATCCTCAGCCTCTACCCACTAGTTGTCCCTCCACTGTCCTAAGTTCTAACAACCAAAATGCCTTCAGATATTGCCAAAAGTCCCCCTGGAGGCCAAACTGCCTCAGCTGGGAACTACTGCTTTATTTTATGACTTCTAGCATCAAGTGGGCCCTCAGGACTGCCTGGCAACCCGCACTGTACACATGTCCCCAATTCAATTATTCTTCCACTCTCCTGGATGACTACTTTAGACCGTCCTTTGTCTCCCTAAGCCTCCACCTCCTTCTCGTCTCTTCACAGCCAAATGATGACCTTCGGAGAGAAATACAAGCAATCAGAATTTCTTCTTGCTTCCACCACCAAACATCTGTGCCCACAATCTTTCCCTTCTCTCCTCTTATGATGCTCCACTTGTGTTAGCCTCTCAAGGACATCATTCCACCAATGTTTCTACCCCATGTCATTCCTGTCAGCAGAACATGCTGACATCCCCCAACCTAAAAACAAACAAAAACCTCTTTATCCCAAAACCTCCCTGAACTCCTGCCCATTTCTCTACTCCCTCTCAAAGAATGGACTATACTTGGTATTTCTTTCTGTCTTCTATTTTCCTTGAACCCACTCCAATCAGACTTTAGTCCTATTATTCCACCAAAAATACTCTAGGCAAGGTCACCAACCAACTCACTGTGTTAAATCAAACGAGCAGTTCTGTCATCAGCACAGTGACTTGTTATATCAATAACATCTGACACAGCTGATCTCTCCAGCCTTGAAACCACGCTAGATTTTCTTACCACCTCTCAGGAGTTTCCCTCTTTGTCTCCTTTGCTGATTTTTCCTCATCTCCTAAATTTCTAAACACCAGAGGACTCTAGGTTTCGGTCTTAGGACCTCTTCTCCTCTTTATCTACACTTACATTCTTGATGATCTCGCAGTCTTGTGGTTTTAAACGTCATCTACACGATGAATCTTCCAAGTGTGTGTGTGTGTCTCTAGCCCCCATCAGTCCCCTGACCTCCCTTTCTAAAAGCCCACACTGTATCTCCATTAGGTGTTAATTAAGCATCTCAAACGTAACCACCCAAAGCCAAACTCCTACAGTCTTCCCCATTTTCAGGAATGACAACTCCACCTTTCCAGCTGCTTAGGCCAAAGATTTTAGTGTTCCTTCTTCATTCTTCTCCTTTTCTCACACCTTACACGAACACATCTTGTTGGTCCCACTTTCTGTATGTTCTTACCCCGAAAGCTGTCATCTTGACCCAAGCCACCATCATTCCCTGCCTGGATTATTTAAAAAATCTTCTAACCACTTAGAAGACTTCTCCCGGCTTCCATCCTTGCTTCTTGACAGTTCCATTAATAATATGGCAGCCAAAGGGACTCTTTAAAATGAAGCAACATCATTTCAGCCCTCTCTTCAAAACTCTCCAGTGGCTTCCCATCTCATTCAGAGTCAAAGCTGTTTGAAGTCCTTAGGAAGACCTACAAGCTGGTAGGGCAATTGCTCCCAATTGCTAGACACACTCTCACCATCTGTCGTACCCTCACGTTTTATGTGTTTTCTATTTACTGCCCCCTCCCACGAGAATTTGAGTCCTACGGGGACAGGGTTTTTTGAGTGTTTGGTCATTGATGTGTCCCTAATGCCTTAAGCAGTGCCTGACATTGCTGGACGACTATAACAGGATGTTGGCTTAAATTCCTTCAGCAGCTCCCCACCCCCCTCTGCCTACAGTGGGAACAGTGTGAAAGCTGCACGGTTGCAGATGAGACCCTCAGCATTCTGATTCCTTCTCCTGTTGGCCTCTTGTGCCATCACACACACACCTGAATGTACCACATGCCTTTACACAGACTATTAGCTTTGCCTAAGATGACCCCTTTCCCATTGTCCAGCTGAACTCCAACTCCGTTCAGTTCTCAGCTCCACATTATCTTGCCGGCAGTGTTGGCTGATCTCCTCGGGAGTGAGACACTCATTCCTTCACCTCTCATCCACTACTGACCAGATTATGCTGCATATGTTTGCATGGCTGTCTTCCCCAGTGGCCTGTGACCTACTCGTGGGGTAGAACCACCTTCTGTACTTGCATTCCCAGCATCTAGCACAGCGCCTGGCACCCAAATGGTTGTGAATGCACGCAGGGGTGGTGGCACTGATGGCAACGCAACGTGTCAGTCCCTAGGGTGGAGCACAAAACCCACCCTGCAACAGCTCAATAACCTACACCACCGCGGAGCACCCCCAACTCCCATGTTGCAACCGAGACCCAGGGAAGGTTGTGAGTCAGCCGTGAGACCCCTCTCGGTGGGAAAAAGGTGATACTTCGGCTCACTCATGGATCAAAGTGTTCCCAGAGCGTCTGCTGCGTGCCAAGGCTCATCGCATTTGACCCCCGCAACCTCTCTCGGCACCCTCTCCATCTGTATATGAGAAAGCTGCGGCTCAGGGACTAATGTGCACAAGCTCCCAAAGATGTCAAGTGGCAGAGTTGGGAATTCACTGGTCCTCGGACTCTGGACCGTGACGCCGGTGCCCCGAGACTTAACTGGCCCTCACCTGAAGCCGCTGCGGCTCGGAGTCGAAGCCTCCGCCTTCTCCCCAGCCTCCTGCTTGGCCGCTTGGCTTTGCAGCTGCCGGGCGCCGGCGTGGATGGTGGAGGCTGGCGCCCCCGCCACGACCCTGAGGGGAGGGAAAGCTCAGTGAGGTCCAGGCCTAACGGCCACTGCAGTCCAAGCAGTGCAGGGGCACGCGCAGGAGCGCAGTCGCCGGGGAGGGGGTGGGGGCCGGTGACCATTCTCACCTGGGCGCCGGGGACCAAGCCCACCACCGCAAGAACCAAGACCTCGTCGTCCGTACCACCTGCATGACTGGAATTGACCCCCGTCAGCCGCCGTCCGCGGCGACCGCGGCGCCAGCACCGCGAGAGCTTGTGGGGGAGAGCGTACAAGGAAAGTCATCTCATTCCTCTTCATAAGGCCCACTAAAGATTTTTGCTCCCATTCCAATGCTCTACGATAACTATCATTGCGAGTGCGCACCGAGAGTTTCTTCCTTTGTCCCTAATCTTCTAACATGAAATCTTCGCCCACCCCTCCATATTGGAATGGTTCATTCTAGTAGCTCCCCGGACGGCCCGCTTGCTCTCCCGCGCTGCCTTGTGGGAACATGCGATTGGCCCAGGCCCCCGCAGGGAGCCGCGGTGCACTGCGGGAGGGCCGGAGCATGGCGGCGCCCGTAGGGCGGACTGTGCTTGGGGTGGCCAAGGGCTGGCGGCGGCTCGAGGGGCTCCGGACCGCTAGCCTGGGTTCTCGCAGCCTGTCCCTCGCGGCCGGACCCTCGAGCAGCGGGTCTCCATGGCGTCTTTTGGGCGCGTTGTGCCTGCAGCGGCCACCGCTGGTTTCGAAGCCGCTGACCCCGCTGCAGGAAGAGATGGCGGCTCTCTTCCAGCAGGTAGGATGGAGGTGCGGCCGGCGGCTTCAGGGTGCTGTTGCGGAACCCACAGAAGCACGTGGGCCAGGGCTGGATTCCGACTCCGGCACAGTCAGTCTGCGTAACCTTGAGCTCGTCCCTTCGTTTCTCCGAACTTCAGCACGCTCAGCCTGCGCATCAGCATCTACCTTACAGGGTTGGCTCGCTGCGAACAAGGCGTTCGATAACAGATAGTTTTCATTGGCATCCGATGTTGCCACGTTAGGCAGCTCTTTAGAATTGTTTTCCTTTGTGGTCGGATACACGAGGGGTGCGGTGGTGAACAAGACGACTTAGCTCCTATCGTAGGCAGTCGGTAATTTTTTGAATTTTTATTTTTTAAAAAAGATTTTATTTATTCACGAGAGACACACACACACACACAGAGAAAGAGAGGCAGAGACACAGGCAGAGGGAGAAGCAGGCTCCATGCAGGGAGCCTGATGCGGGACTCGATCCCAGGACCCCAGGATCACGCCCTGAGCCACCCAGGCGCCCTGGTACTTGCTGATTTAGCGAAGGGGGAGTCTGTGATGTGATGTTTATAGAGGAAGGTAGTGGGCACATCTATGAGACGCCTGTGATAAGCGGCAGGTGAGGAAACGGGCAAACATTAAGTGTAGTGGCTGTGAGGGGTGTAAATCCCCACAGATAGTGATTGAAGGTTGTTTCCCTAGAATTTGAGATGTTTGTGTGTGTGTGTGTGTGTGTGTGTGTGTGTGTGTGTTGGCTCCTAAGAGCTCTAAACTTCACTTCGTGGTTTTTACTTGGTTTATTTATTATGTAAATATTGATCATTTTATAGATAGTCACTTATCACCTATTTTGCTAAGCGCTAGAGATGAGTAAGACAGACCTGCTTCTGGTTCTCCGAGTGTTCAGTCTAGCGGAGGTGGGCCAGTCAATAACCAAATAATCCCATGACTATAACCGCAGACCCTGGTGAGTGTTGTAAAGGAAGACGCAGGGTAAAACGTTTTAACGGGGACATCTAAGTTGATTCTATGGGTGGTGTCAACGAATATCTCCCTAAGAAAGTGATGTTTAAATTGAAATCTGGGAGCACCTGGTTGGCTCAGTGGTTGAATGTCTACCTTTGGCTCAGGTCGCCTGCTTCTCCCTCTGCCTGTGTCTGCCTCTCTTTCTGTGTGTCTCATGAATAAATAATAAAATCTTTAAAGAAAATAAATTGAAATCTGAAGGATAAATAGGAATCTCCTAGAGGAGCATGAGGGAAAACACTCTAGGAAGAAGGGAGTGCATCTGTAAACTCCCCGAGGCAGGAAGGCTCATTGTGAGATCAAAGACTGACAGAGGAGTGTGGTAAGTGGGCAGGCCATGCCTGTCCCAATCCCTCTGTTCTTTGTAGCAGCTTGACTTCCAATCACATCCTAACATGTTAGCAAATGTAACTCAAGCCCAAAGTGCGGGTGACCTTTTTTTCCTTTTTTTTTTTTTTTTTTTTTTTTGGTGGTGTTTTGATTGTATGTTTGGTTATGCTGGGTGGTAAACTTCTGAGTCTGTCAAGTGTGCTATAGCTCTGTTTTCTCTTCTACCTGTTGTTTGTTTTGGTTTGGCTATTTTGTGCTTTTAATTTTCCTAGATTGAGGTAGAGAGAAGTATGTATTCAGACCATGAGCTTCGTGCATTGGATGAAACCCGCCGACTGGCAAAGAAGAAAGCTGACTTGTATGATGAGGAAGATGACGAACAGGATATACTGCTGGTGCAGGATTTGGAAGATGTATGGGAGCAGAAATTCCTACAGTTCAAACCTGGAGCTCGCATAACAGGTGTGTGATCTTTACAGGCCAGCAGGAGAGAAGGGAAAGGGGAGTATTGTGGTTCCTAGATAAAGGACATTGGCTTAGCCCCTGCTTTGTATTTTAAGTAACAAGTAATTGCAGAACTTCCTTCAGGTGGGAGGAAAATAAATCCTTTTCCCTGTTTCTCACATCCACCCTAATAACATTTTTAAAGGCACATGTTATTTTTGAGTGGAAGGTAGGGGGTGTTGGGATAACCTATTCTCTCTCAGTTAAACTTTATGAACGTTATTTGAGTTTAACTCCTAGTTCAGGTGTGAGAGTGGGGGGAAATTAAGCCTTTCCCACTAGTTTCCTGTGTTTTATCTGAAAGCTCTCCTAAAGCAGAGGATTGAGTTCTCTTATCTTTGCTTCAGAGATGAAGCCTGAAGAACAGAGAAAGTGGGGCCAAGTTAAGTCACTAATAGTGTCAAAACCAGTGAAGTAGTAGTGTTTGAAGTAGTGTGGGTAGAGCTGCTTTTCCAAAGGCTCAAAGTACTTTGTGTTGTGCTCTTAAAAGGAGAAGTTCAGCTTTTGGTTTTCTCTTCTTACATTGTAGTTTTCTTAAGATTGTGAGACTCTGAAAGAGGTCTGAATTAGAGAGATGGATCAGGATTGTAATTTGATTATAAGAGGACAGAGGTTGTGGCTCTACCTTAAAAGAAGACTGCAAAACTCTGTTCTTTCTTGGTTCTGGCAGATCACAGTCTTTTTGTCTTCTGTGATCCCCTTTTCTTCACAGAAGCCGATAAAAAGAATGACCGAACCTCACTGCAGCGGAAGCTAGACAGGAACCTTGTTCTGTTGGTCAAAGAGAAGCTTGGAGACCAGGATGTTTGGATGCTTCCCCAGGCGGAGTGGCAGCCCGGGGAGACCCTCCGAGGAACAGCGGAGCGAACCCTGGCCACACTCTCAGGTGAGTTCTCTGCTTCCCTCTGAACCTCACAAGACTCGCTTCACACTAAGCCACAGGATATGCAGGCTGACTTGTTAGGATGGCTGGAAGGATTGGAGATGGGTTGTTAATGGGAACTCTGAAATCTATGAAAGTTTCAACTAGAAAAAAATCTTAGATTAGGCAAAAGGCTTTGTCCCAGAGAGATTTTTAAGTTTTTCTTCTATTTCTTTTTTTTCCTTCTATATAATATTGCATTTGGTCTTCTTGACGGCAGAAGAAATAGTTCTTTTTTTCACTTGTAAAAAGTATTTGCTTTGTTGAACTCCATATTTTTTTTCTGTCCTTTGTGTGGAGTTGAATTTTCCCCCCTCAAATCTACTATTTCATTCTCCAGATAATATCCACCATGTCTGCTGCTGCTTCTGAAGGGAAAGCAAGAGGTCTGTCAACAGGTTTTGATCTGGAAGTTTTAGTCAGTGGCTCCTTTCTTCATAAAGACTCTGCTTGGTCTTAGTTCCAAGCCTGGGGAGGTTGGTAAAACTGCTGGGTTGGCTGAGTAGATCTTCTTGTTCTGCCTTCACCTCCTCTGTGGAACTTGGGAGTTCCCTTGTGGGTCCTTCCTCCTCCCACACCTCTCTTTGAGTGGGCCGGTGTTGCATCAGGGCACTTTGTGGTTGCCTTAATAGATTTAACAACTGCTTTTGTACCTGAAGAATGGACAGGTTCAATTTCTGCTCAGTGAACCTTGTCTTCCCAACAACATGCACAGCCTTCATTTCCAGGTTTTCATGGTTTTGCATATTCCACAGGAAGAGATAATTCTAGTACTTTTTCAGGTTTAATTGGCCCATACCTTCTCTTGAGTCCACTGTTGTAAGATTATTTAATTGTAGTAGGTAGCCATCGTAGGTCCTGCCGATTCGATGGATCCTACTCGCCTTCTCTTTAGTGGCATTTCTGTCTCTGTTTGGAACGCCAGTGGAATTCAAAGTTCAGACGGGATTCCGATCATTAGTATTTACGCCAGATTTTCAGATTTTATGCCACTGAAAACTTCATTATTTATTATTCATAAAAATGATCATGGTGTGCTTTGTGCTTGTTTGGCTTTCTCTTTTCCCACAATTTTGATTAGTTTAATCTATGAATTTCTTGAAGTGGGTTTTATTTCATATCTGCATAGGATGAATCTTTTACTGATCTGCTTCGCATAAACTTACCTTTTTTTTTTTTAAGCAACATTATTGTACTGAGAACTTAAAAAACACAAAGTACCTTTAATTCTTTCATATCTAGAATATGGCCTGTCACTCATAATTCTCTCTTTAGCCCATCCTTTAGATCCTGAAGAAGTATTTGGTGTTTCAGAACGTTTCCGTCTAGATAATCCACTGCCTTCTGAAATTGACTTTGAATTTTGAGTGTCTCTTTGAAAATGACATTTTTCATTTCTTGGCTCTGGTGTCATTTTGAGGAAGATGTCTTGGTGACTCAGTAATGGACAATCTGTATTTTCCCTGAGAAAGTTGTTTCTGCTGTGATTTAGGTTCTGCCCCAGGGCCCAGTACAGGAGCAGCCAATTAGAAAGTGCCTAGACTTTCTGTAAGAGGCTTATTTACTTATCTTAAAGCATTCAATAATGGGTGGTTTGAGGGGCAAGCATTCAATTCAACACACATCTAGGGGTCTGAAAATACCCTCTAGGGATGCAGGCTAGCGGGATCATCACTGTGCTTTCCCTGTCCCCCACTGAGATTTAAAAATTTAGTGTGTACTTTCAAAATTGACAGTCCTACCACTCTCAGCCTGCACCTCTTCTTATCCTTGCAGCTTTGCTTAGTGGCCTGACACTTAACTCCTTTACCCAACTGGAAATGTCAGAGTTATCTTTGACCTCATTCTTACAGTCTGAAGTTCTCAAGTTCCACCTGGTCTATTCTAAATATTCCTCTCTTTATTCCCACAGTGTTAACTGTCACCCTTTTTGCTTCTCGCCAGATCAGGTTTTCTCATCCTTGGCACTGTTGACATTTGGGGCCAGGTAATTCTTTGGGGCAGGGGGAGGCTGTTCTGAGCATTATGGGATGGTTAGCAGCATCCCTGGCTTCTACCCACTAGATGCCAGTAGCACTAGCCCATCCTCACTTGTCCTAGTGTAACAGCCAAAAATGTCCCTAGACATTGCCAAATATTACCCTGGGAGTGAAATCACAGTGGTTGAGAACCATTGTGCTAGACCTTTGAATTAGATGCCAAATAAATTCCCCATGGCTTTCATGTCATGCCCTTCAGTGCTGCCAGAATGAACTTTCCAACAAATCTCTCTGCCTAGAAGGTTTCCCATAAAAGTTCAGACTTGCAAGAATGGCCTATAGATCCGTTTGCTCTGGTCCTGAGCTTGCCAGTCTTCCATCTGGCTGCACATTGATGTATATTCTGAGTTCCAACCTAGCAGACCTTCTGTGTTCCTCCAGTAATGTGGTCATTCAAGTGTCTGTTTTGTGGCCTGCTGATCTCTGACTGGAATGGTATACTCCTCCTTGGAGTGACTACTCAGTTTTGAAGACTCGGCTTATACATTATACCTTCTGTGGTGGAACCTTCTCCAAGCCTCCATGTAGACAGAACTAATCCTCCCTCTAGGTTCCCATAGTATTTGTGTGTGCCTTGATTCACATTATGCAACATTTACTCTGAGCCTACCATTTGCTGGATACTGTCTGGGCAGTGGGGTTACAGTGATGAATAGGACACTACCCCTGCTCTATGGGAGCTTATGTTCTAGTGGAGTATATGCTCTTTCACTTACTTCCATTGCCTGGTAATCTGTTTATTGACACATTTTCCCCCCAGCTAAAATTCTGACTCCTTTGAAGGTACAGACAGGATCTATCCCCTTCCATCCTCCCAGCTCTCAGCACAGTGCCTGGCTCACAGCTGAGTGTTTACTGAATATGTAGATTTGGCAGTGTCAATACCACTTTACTGGCCCTGCCACCAGCGCAAACACCTGCCAACAAAGCAGCAGCCAGTGTGTGACCCTTTGTTCCTTGGCCACGAAAGGCCTGGGGGGCTTGCGAGAGCAGGAGTGAGACAGAATGGAGTGGGGAGGGGACCTTCACCATGCTTCCTTGTCCTCCTTGTCACCTAGGAGGTGGCATCTGGGTTTCCTGCCAGGATCACTGTGCTCAGATGCTCAGCTTCCCTCACACATATGTGACTGACGCTTGCTCTCCCTCTCGTCTGCCACGCCGAAAGGGCTTCCACCTTGGCACAGCTTTTCCTCCTCCTAACATTCCCGCTGTAATGAACAGACATGAAAGGAAACATACGAAAGACACATTGACATTAAACGGTGCATAACAAATAAAATGTGTTGATTTATTATGAAGTTACTAAAATGGTAATATAGAATAAAATGACAAAAGCTCAAGAAATGTAAAAGTGTACACCCATATATTTATGTATATATGAGTCAGAGTCCATTTCTTTCCTCCCCATTGGCACCTCATTTCCCACGTCCTGCAAGATGGGGTTCCTCCAGGTGGAATTCATGGTGAAGGATGGACACATGTACGTTTTTGTTGGCTGCTGCCCAGTCCTGCAGAATGTACATAATGCTGGACATTTTCAGGTCTGGTGTAAGGAGTGCCTGCTTGTCTAGGCCCCACCAACATATGGAAACGTCTCCTTAATTTTTGCTTATCCAGTCAGTAAAAAATGGTCTCTTTTGGATTAGCAGTTTCCTGCTTGCTAGTAAGATTGACCGTATTTTATTTTCATGGGTTTATTGGCTGCTGAAATTTCTCCATGATCCTTTGCTCATCTTGTTTTTTTCTTCTTGATTTGACTGTATTTTTTAATAGGTTTTTCCAGATTATAGAAAAATATATATTCAGTGAAATAAGTGGAAAAATTCGGGAAAGTATAAAGAAGCTTGCCAATGTAGTTCCACCACTCATAGATACCCACAGCTGACATTTAGTGTTGTAGATGAACTCACGTCATGTATCTGTTCTTCATCGGATGCTCCAATAGTGTGGTTTTTTTTTTTTTTCTGTAAAGTTTTTATCTATTCATGAGATACAGAGAGGCAGAGACATGGGCAGAGGGAGGAACAGGCACCCGGGGTTGGGGGGGTGCCCAGTGTGGGACTCCATCCCAGGACCCCGGGATCACAACCTGAGCCAAAGGTAGATGCTCAACCACTGAGCCACCCAAGCGCTCCCATCAGTGGAGTGTTTTTGTGTTTTTGTTTTTTTAGTACTAAGAGAAGCAGTTTGTTATATGTGGTGAAAAAAAAAATTTTTTTTAAAGATTTTATTTATTTATTCATGAGAGACAGAGAGAGAGAGGCAGAGACACAGGCAGAAGGAGAAGCAGGCTCCTTTCAGGGAGCCCAACGTGGGACTCGATCCTGGGTCTCCAGGATCATGCCCTGAGCTGAAGGCGGCGCTAAACTGCTGAGCCACCCAGGCTGCTCTGAAAAAATTGTTAAAACAGTTTCTAGTACATGTAGTATAGGATAAGTAATATTACTGTTTTAGAGGCATCCGCTTATAACAGTGTTTAGTGTATCCTTTTATTTTTTATTTATTTAAAAATTTTTTTTTTGGTCTTTTTAGGAATTGCAAGCACATACATACTTCATCTGTTTTTCCCCCGCACATAGTAGGAGCATGGTTATATACCTTTGCTCCTCTTCTTTGCAGCTTTTAAGCATCTCTCTGTATCAGCATGTGAAGCCATACCTTAACGCTTTCTGACACGAGCATATGATTCATAATATACATGTGCTACAGTTCATTTAACCAGTCTTGCTTTTACAAATAAGCTGTAGTGAATGTCTTGTGTACCTACCTTTGGTCACATGGGCAGAGAAACATTTCTGGGAAGATCAAGTTCTAGAAGCCAAGTCGCTGGATGAAGGGGTATGCATAAGGTACGCATAATTAAAGTTGATAATTCTTGCCAAAAATAGAGGCTAACACTAATTTCTACCCCCCTGATGGTGTGAGAGTGCTCATTTTTCTCTTGACAAGCAGTGTACAGCTCAAAGTTTTGGGACTTAGTAATGACATGTTGTTTGAATTCTTATTTCTTTAATTGTTAATAAGATTGAGCATCTTTTAATGAGTTTATAGGTCAGTGGTATTTATTTTTATGTGAACTTCTTGTTCTTTTTTTTTTGAACTTCTTGTTCTATGCTTAGTTCATTTTTCTTTTGGATCTATTGGCTTTTTCCACATTGATTTCTAAATACTTATACCCGAAATTACTCTTCCTTTGTGGAGTGTGTTGAAATATTTTTGTTAGTGTGCCATTTTGTCCTTGACTTTTATGTTTTGCTTTTCTTTATAGAAAGATTGTTTTATGTAAATAAAATGTTTTTTTCTTTTACAGATTTTTAAGATTTGTGTCTTGGTGAGGGCTTTCCCCCTCAAAAATGATATGGAAAGTATCCTACATTTTTTCCTAGTACTCTTTCAGTTTCTTTCTTTTTTTTTTTTTTAAACGATAGTCATACAGAGAGAGAGAGAGAGAGAGGCAGAGACACAGGCAGAGGGAGAAGCAGGCTCCATGCACCGGGAGCCTGACATGGGATTCGATCCCGGGTCTCCAGGATCGCGCCCTGGGCCAAAGGCAGGCGCCAAACCGCCAGGGATCCCTGGGTGGCGCAGCGGTTTGGCGCCTGCCTTTGGCCCAGGGCGCGATCCTGGAGACCCGGGATCGAATCCCATGTCAGGCTCCCGGTGCATGGAGCCTGCTTCTCCCTCTGCCTGTGTCTCTGCTTCCCTCTCTGCATCTCTCATGAATAAATAAATTTTAAAAAAATCTTAAAAAAAAAAAATTTGAAAATACAAGAACATTCAGAAAATATTAAACATCTATGAAACCACCATCCAGAATGCACAATCCTTTTATGAAAGTTAAATTTCTATTGTTAAATCTTTGATCCGTGTAATGTCAGTTTTGATGTAAGGACTGAGGTTGGTGGAATCCAGCTTCATTTTTCCTGTTGAGCTAGCCAGCTTTCCAAATGCCAGGATTCATCGGTCCTTTCCCCTTCCTTTGAAATGCTCGGTTGGGGTTAAACCTTTGTTATAGATTCTAGGTAAATTCCAACCACCTGTCTGTGTCTTTTAATTATTGATATGATGTTTTCACCCTACAGAAGTCAAATTGGGTCCTCTTTATGCTTTTCAAGTGACACTCCCTTTAAAAGGCTAAGAGTGGGCAGCCCAGTGGTTCAGCGGTTTAGCGCTGCTTTCAGCCCAGGGCGTGATCCGGAGACCCGGGATCGAGTCCCACGTCGGGCTCCCTGCATGGAGCCTGCTTCTCCCTCTGCCTGTGTCTCTCATGAATAAATAAATAAAACCTTTAAAAGATTAAAAAAAAAAAAGGTTAAGAGCTTTGCTTTACAGATACCCAGTGTAATAGTCCTTCATTAACAATGATGGCCAGGCTGAGTCTAGAAGCTTGGTGCCCTGACTCCAGGTAATGGTATCTGAACTGCATCACTAACTTCAGTTTGAGAGTAGTAGCTTGGCACATGGGATGGATCCAGTGAATCCGGAGCCCATGAGCCCGTGGGCCAGGAGCATTTGGATGGAGATGGGGGGAGGCTCTTCAGGAATGACCCTCGTCCTCACTCCCAGGGATTGCTTTACCTCACACTGGAAATGACTCTCACAGAGACCCCCTGGCGTTTGAGGGGCCAAAAGTAAACAGATAGGTGCATCCTCATCTTCCAAATCTTCCCCTCTTCCCTTCAGAGAACAACCTGGAAGCCAAGTTCCTGGGAAATGCCCCCTGTGGCCACTACAAGTTCAAGTTCCCTCAGGCATTGCGGACAGAGAGCAGCCTTGGTGCCAAAGTATTCTTCTTCAAAGCCCTGCTATTAACTGGAGACTTCTCTCGGACCAACAAGAAGGACCATCACGTCTGGGTCTGTAAGGAGGAGCTGGGTGACTATTTGAAACCCAAGTATCTGACCCAGGTTAGGAGATTTCTTTTGGACCTCTGATGGGCGGTGCCACCTGTGGACAATACTCGACCAGACCTGGGACGGTGCCTCAAGGACATCATGTACTTATCCCATCTTTGCAGGGAACAGCATGCAGCCAACTAAATTCAGAGAAATAAACAAGTTTATCATTGTGTGGGTCTCAGCTGATTTGTCCTTCGAGGATGACTGGCTTTTCCCTGTGCAGAGAGAGCTGTCCTGTAGGCTGCCTTTCCCTTGTTTCCAAGCTGATAGTTGTGTGTTGCATTACTTCATAGTGAATCTCTTGGCTTCCTGGGCCCAGAAAGAACCAAAGAAAATGACCTAAGAGCCCTGAGTTCTGTAAAAGCTAGTCTCATGCAAAGAAGGTAGTTCTACGTAGTTCCTTAGCCATTATCCATTTTGTGTTTTCCTCCCTTTGTTTTTGATATGGAGGTGTATCAGGCTAGCCTAGGAAATTATTTCTTTTTCTTTTCTTTTTTTAAGATTTTTTTTTTTTTTTTTTTACCTTTTTAAAGATTTTATTTACTTTTTTGGAGAGGGGCAAAGGGAGAGAGGGAAGCAGACTTCCTATTCAGCAGGGAGTCCAACCTAGGGCTCAATCCCAGGAGTCTGAGATTATGACCTGAGCCGGAGGCAGACACTAGACTGGCTGAGCCATGCAGGAGCCCCCTTTTCTTCTCTTTGTTGTTTTCTTTTTTAAAGCATTTTGTATTTAAGCATTTGAATTTAGTCCTACCTGTTTTGAAACAGTTGTGTGAAATAAGCGGGGTCCGTTTGCCCTCTCCATTTTATAAACTCCTCTCCATGGGAGTCGTGGCCATATGGGATTTAGGCTGAGGATCTTATGTCACTGATGGCACAGGAGGAGAAGGCTGACCTCTTGCTTCTGGTCTTGGGTTCTTGATCCCTCCTTGTGTTGCTTGAGTCCTCACTGGTCCCAGTGCTTGGCAAATGGGAGGTGGTACTCTGAACATTTGTTAAATGATTAGAAGAGAGGGAAGGTCTCAGGCATGCCTCTGCACAGGATGGCAGTTCCAGCAGCAAGGCTGCTGTCCTGAATCTCAGTTTCCTGCTCTCCTCTCAGCCTTCTGAGTTAAACAGACTGGCCTGTCTGATGTAAGGTGGTGAAATGGAATTCCTGTTTCTGCTTCAGATGTAGCCTTTCATTCTGAGTCAGGGAAGTTGCTTTCCATGATCAAAATGAAGGTGCTTAGTCCTGATATGCCCTCCTTCCTCTGTACCCCCATGTGCCTGCTCTTCCCCCTCATCTCAGAGGGAGATGTCCTCCAGCTGAGGCTTGCAGATTTCATGGGCAGTTGTGATGCCCTGGGAGTGAGAGGTGGGTGCTAGGAGAGGGCAGATGGAGGACCAGGGGTGCATTTCTCTTTCAGGGTTTCAGGGTGAGTTGTGTATGTGAACTATACTGCTATACTGCGAACTATATTCACCTGAGGGACCTCCAGCCTAGAACGGAGGGAATTCCCAGAGTGAGGTGGAGACTGTGGTGTTGTGATTTATAATAAATATATATTTGGTCTCTGTACCCACTCCTTTCATAAAACTAAAACCTGTGGAATTTCCTGTGCTTAGAGCCATCAAGGTGTCTTCTGTCATGTTAATGAGGTGAGTTTTAGGGAGCCCCTTGTAACCTAAGGATTGGGGCTGGTTGCCAGGGAAGCCAACCATGTGACTAGAGGGTGGGAACTTTAGTCTAACTCTCTGACCTGGGAGTGGGAAGGACCTAGATGGAGTTCAATCACCAATGGCCAGTGATGGAATCAACCTTGCCTAAGAGATGAGTCCTTCATAAAAATCCAAAAGGATGGGTTCAGAGAGTTTCCAGGGTTGGTGACCACTTGGGGATTTGGGGAGAGTAGTACAATCCTAAGACAGCATGGAAGCTCTGCCCCCTTGTCCCCCATCTTGCCCTGTGCATTTCTTCCATCTGGCTGCTCCTGAGTTTATGTCCTTTTATAATAAACTAGTATTCTAGTAAGTAACCTGTTTCTCTGAGTCCTGTGAGCCATTCTAGCAAATTAATTGAACCCAGTTTGGTAGTGGAGGTGGAGGGGAATGTCTTGGAACATCTGATGAACCTGTTGTTCAAAAGCACTAGTGCCTGGACAGGTGATTGGCATCTGAAGGATGGGGGGACGCGGGAGGTATCTTGAAGGACTGAGCCCTTAACCTGTTGGATCTGATGCTCTCTCCAGGTAGATGGTGTGAGAAGGGAGCTGAATTGTAGGACACCCAGCTAGTGTCTGAGAATTGCTTTGCGAGTGTGTCTTCTCTCACACACTGGGATTGGTACCAGAATCTTTTTTTTTTTTAAACAGTTTAGTGTTTCTTTGTTTTGTTTTTTAAAGATTTTATTCATTCATTCAATGAGAGACACAAGGAGAGAGAGAGAGGGAGAGAGGGAGAGACACAGGCAGAGGGAGAAGCAGGCTCCATGTAGGGAGCCTGATGTGGGACTCAGGCCCAGGGCTGAAGGCAGTGCTAAACCGCTGAGCCACCCGGGCTGCCGGGTAGCAGAATCTTAATGACTATTCTTAAGATGCTCTGTTTTGTTATCAAGTTGTTTCTTTAATGGGAAATAACACATACAATTGGTAAATAGAGAAACGGTGTCAGGATAACGCAAAATTAGGTTAGTTCGTATAACATTTTCCCCAGAACATTAATATTTTGAAGTGATCAGGGACAGGATTGAATTACCTTAAGAAAAAAGCCGCAAATTTTATAGAAGTGCCTTTCTTTATTACGAATAGTGGCTGGTTTAGTAGCTTCAAAAATCACTGTTAGTGACTCCACGGTGTTAGGCTGTCTGGGGAAATGGAGTGGAAAGAAAGATGCTGGGAAGGCACCACCCTCCCCTTTGTTTTACAGAATTGATGAAGAAGGTCCCTTCCTGGATCACGTTTTTTATTTTGATGGAACTAGTCCCTGTGTGTCAGGAAGAAGCATGAGCCCCAGGAGCAGAGGCTCAAAGGACCAGTGCACATGCCCAGTGGGGGCTTAACTGCAGCAGCGTCACTGGGTTATTTGTGCCCTGGCCACAAGATCCCATAGTATCTGTGTTGTCTGCTCTAACCCCCTTTTCCCAGAAGGCTTGTTATTTTTGGAGTGTGATCTTGCAGAATGCAAGCTCTTTTGGCATTACAGTCAAAATGACTATTTGCTGAATGCCGGCCTGAATCTTCTACCGGCTGCCAAACATGACCAAAAAATCGTTTCTAGTGTATCCTCTGGGGAAAAAGATCATCAGGGAACCAGGAGGTGATGTTCTCTGTGTTTTATGGGGAACTTTCAAGAGAATGATGGGAGGAAGGAAGAGTTAAGGTGTGAAATGCTGGCATCAGGAGTTGTGGTCTGAGGTGTGTTTGTGCACCCTTAGAAGAAAATGCAACTGTGTGTGTGTAAGACACATGAAACAGACTGCCAAGCTCACTAGAAGTCTCCTCTAAAAGTTTAGCCCACCTGGTCCCTTGCCTTCCCAAGTGATTTCTAGTCACTTCCGTTTTTTTACCTTTGCTATTACTATGGAGAAAATATTAACCACTCTTAAAAAAACTTGTTTTCCTAGTAACCCAGCCTCAAGAGTACTTCCCTCTGTACCTTTTCTGCACCATGTAGGTGCTTCTAGACTTAGCACTTTATAAGACAATGAGTTGTCTGCCTCCTACACCTAACTGAACTTCTGAGTCCTAGGACAGAGCCTGCCTCATGGCCACCCTTAAAAAAATTATTTAAGTGAATCACTCCTCCCCCTTGAGCACTGAACTTAGGAGTCAGGAAACCTGGGTTTGAATTTCTTTTGACCTTAGGTAAGTATCAACCAAGAAGGAATTCACTGAACATTTAAGCAAACTGCAAATTATTTGGGTAGTTAGTTCTGCCATTTGGGATACACGGTCTCAGGTAAAAACCTTACTGCATCCTGAGGAAGACAAAGAAGGGGCAGAGTGAAAAAGGCAAAAGGTCACAAGTACAGCTCTCATTCAGGTCCTCTATGTAAAACGGGGATTGAAACTAGGTTAACTAGGGGGCACTTACTTAGGTGGCTCAGTCAGTTAAAACGTCTTGTGTTCTCAGGGTCCTGGGAGTGCGTGCCAGCATGGGGTTCCCTGCAAGGAGACTGATCTTCCTTCTGCCCCTCCCCACCAACTCCTCTCTCTCAAATAAGTAAAATCTTTTTTAAAAAAAGGAAACTAGGTTAACTGGGGTTGGTTGGGCCAATATGCAAATGAAGGGTTGAATTGGCTGTTTTCAGAGTGAAGAAAAGATGATTCAGGGGTGGTGAGTAAGGGAAGTCCTGGCTGAGGGCTTGTCGCTGGCAAAAAGTTCCTAGTTCCTCTGATTAGGATGGGCATAAGTTTCTCCACCCTTGTGGCCTCCTGACCCTATCTTAAAGACATTCTCGGGGGGCCTGAGTGGTGCAGTCAGTTGATCCTCCAACTTTTGATTTAGGCTCAGGTCACGATCTAAGGGTTGTGAGTTGGGGAGCTCTGTGTTGGGCTCTGCTCTCAGAGTGCTCTGAGTAGGCTTGTCCCTCTCTCCGCTTCCCCACCTACCCCCTCATTCTCCTGTGCATGTGTGCACTCTCTCTTTCTCTCAAATAAATAAAACCTTTAAAAAAATAAAAGACATTCTCTCACTTAGACTTGCTTTCTCCATCCTGAAATCACCTTTTATGCAAGTTGCTCGTGCTACTGGCCAAGTGGAGAAGCTGTACTCGGGACCCTACCTACACCTTATGTTTCTATATAAACTAGACATCATGAGCCCTGGTTTATAGATGAGAAAATAGGGAGTTTAGTTAACTTGCTTAGGGTGACTCACTACTAAGTCCTGGATCAGCACTTGAACTCAGATCTATGCACAAAGCTAGTTCTTAAGTTTTCTTGACTTAACCTTTCTCATCCATAAGAGGAAGATGATCCTCTTTCTTAGGTATTCTGATAATTTATGTGAGAATACTTCACACTGTGTCTGGCTTGTTGTAAACACTAAGCAAATGTTTGCCCCTTCCAACGTATTTCGGCTCCTGAATGCTCCCAAACCCACCTGTATCATCTTTAGCTTTTGCAGCTCTCAGTCTCACTTTTTCCAGGTGATGCCTTGTAGCAACCAAGTGTTTCTGACC